GTTTGGGATGAGGGCCAGGATTGCCCTGAGAGAGAAGGGCGTGGACTTTGATTTGAGGGAGGAGGACCTTCTGAGCAACAAGAGCCCCCTGCTCTTGGAGACGAACCCGGTCCACAAGAAAATCCCCGTCCTCATCCACAATGGCAAGCCGGTTTGCGAGTCCCTCATCATCGTCCAGTACATCGACAAGACTTGGGGTCGCGAGTCCCCTCTCCTGCGTTCCGATCCTTACCAGCGGGCATTAGAGGTGTCAATGGATCGGATCGGGTCGAGCTTTCTTAATACCCAACCCGACCCGAAACCTACAGGGTTATGCTTGACCCGCCCAGACCCACCCGAGACCCTGTTCACCGTACACCCCAAGGCCTGGGCCGGGTCGAGTCGGGCCGGGTTTCGATTTTTTTTTTCGCGCGGATAGATTGGAATTGTGAACCCACCGCAAATATAGAACCGAATTATCAGATGACTAACCAGGTTAGGTTGGTTCTGTTCTCTTATTTTTTCTTTTCATATCCACAAGATGGAAAAATGATAATAGAGATGATTTCCAACACTACGCCAGAATCTCTTTTCTTCCCACTCTCACTGTGTGAGTACCATCGTAGAACAAGTTTTGTAGTACAAAGTAACTAAAAAAAAGAGAAAGAAACTAAAACAATACCATTGCAGAACAAGTTCTGTAGTACAAAGTAACTAAAAAAAAAAGAAAGAAACTAAACAACATTAACAGACAGCAATGACTGGAATTTTTTCACTTCTAAGCAAGACTGGCTTGCTTCCAATTACTAATACATCATCACGGGTCGACATTCCAAAGATAAAGCTAGTGCAAAAGGGTTGGACTCCGAATTTCTTTTCCCCGTCGATGCAGTGCTGCCTAAAAGTAGATTGTTCCAAAAGATTCAAAAGCAAGATTGATTCTAAGATTAGTTCATAAGAAAAGGGTTAACAAAGATCTAGAACCAGACGTTGCTGAACTAGAAGTGGTAGGTGAGATATCATTAAGTTTGTTGCTAGTAAGGACTAAAATTGGCTTTTGTTCACCTTGAGTCTGTTAGAAGTCGATGTTCTCAAGAGGTCACAAGGGAAACAAGAAGATAAGTGCAGCAAGAAGGACAAGAAAATTGAAGATTCCATTGAAAAGCTATTTGTTGGTTGAACATAAACCAGCTTGCTAAAGCAGATTGAGTTTGAGGACAAAATGAAAGACCCTTGAGACAACCTACAAACTCAATTTGCCCAGACACACTGGGATATTTGTCTTGACATGGTTTAAAAGATGTCAGGTCCGAGGTTAGTGACCAGTAAAATTAAATTTAAAGGGGCGTGCACAAAAGAAAACCTGATTAGTTAAGCATATAACAGACACCATGTCGATTCATTGCACTTTTTCTTGGATGATTGTATGCATATGATGAGACATATATATCCTATGTAAGCAGTATGAGTTTTTTATGCGCGCGAGTGTGTGAATATATGGCACTAGATCACTTGACATACGTGTATTTCTTTTGCTACAAGAGAGAGTATATTATTAACATGTATGGTAACCATGTGTAAAGCTTCGATTGGGGAATTAAACAAAGCAAACAACCTTGTGTTGGATGCCATAGTTTACCAGCTATTTAAATAGTTTTACCATACTTCTGTTAAAACTGTAGTAGTCCAAACACTATGTAGTAAAAATAGGTCCCAAGTCATTTAGAGTCTCGAGTAAAAACTGACAAGTTACCTAAAATGGCAATCTACAGCTTCATCAATCATCTAGAGAAATTGATATCGATTTTGGCTCCATGGTTGTAGTTGGCAACTCTGCATTAAATTCACTATGAAAATGAAAATTAACGTATCCATTGAAACATAGAAGGGTATTAATATTCTACAGCCATATTTTTTCACCTGACTCAAAGATTTCGAGTTCTTCTAAGTCCTCTTCAATCGAACGTGAAAGTGGCGCGGATCATAATCAATCTTGAGCACATATAAGAGCCTCCACCATGTTTGGGGTTAAAGAGCTACGAAACACATCAAGCACGTGACCTCCTATGCTAAATGCAACCTCTGATGCTACAGTTGAGACGGGCACGGCCAAAATATCTCGAGCAATGGAAGAAAGGATAGGATATCTTGAAGAATTTATTTTCCACCAACTTAAAATATCAAACTCAACGCTATAATGTTCACATCCTTCCTTCCTCCAAATACTTGTCCAATTCAGATTTTTCTTCCAAATATTGTTGTCCGGTTTCTCTAAGATACATTACAGTCATAATATTAGCACCGACCACCGGAGACTTTGACACGTTAATCATCCTTGTGCTCTTTAGCCTCAAGTTGCTTTGGGGGCATACACCAGTGCGGTATTGCTCGAACAAAGATATCAGAGATGTTATTACTTTATCTTGTAAAGTTTCCGCCTACTTGCTTTCATAAACACGATTAATCATCCACTTCACATATTCCCACTTATGCCGCGGGTCAAGTATGCAAGTAATGAACAAAGTAAGATTGATGTTGTTCACATTGCCAAAATACTTATTGAATTTGATGTTCATTCTCTTAGCCATTTCCTATAAAGTCGGGTCCTCATTTTCACAACATCTATCAATCATGATATAAATCCCATACACATCATTTGACATATCATTACTAGTGACATAAGAAGAACCCGAAACTTTTAAAGTCGTATCAAAAAATAACTTTAGAAAAGGAAGAAAGTGATGGGCATACTCCCAATCATCACTAGTGGGCAATCCTTTTACCTTGGAAAGCTCTTCAACAAATTTGCCATCTTGAAATTCCAATGAGTTAAAAGCTGTTTGAAACTTCAAAGCTGCTTCCAACATTATATATGTCGAGTTCCAACGAGTCTCGACATCCAAACATACAAGACTCTTGGACTCAATTTTCTCTAGCTCAATACAACCTTTAAACCGTCTGAACCTTGCAGGAGAAGACCTCACATAACGCACGGCCGAACGTATTCTAACAATCGAATCATTTATGTCTTTCAACCCCTCTCACAATCAAACTCAATACATGAGCACAACACCTCATGTGGAGCAACTCATCTCTCAATACCAGAGAATTCCGAGAGTTAAGTCTCTTCTTCAAATATTGAATTCCTAAGTCATTTGAGCTAGCATTATCCACGGTGATAGAAAAAAATGCTTTGAATCCCCCAATCAATCAAGCATTTCTCAACCGCTTTTCCTATTATCTAGGCAGAATGACCCTGGATTTGACAAAAATTTAATATTTTCTTATGCAACTTCCAATCGGCATCAACAAAATGAGTAGTGAGACACATATAGCTCAAATTTTGACAAGAAGTCCATGTGTCTGTTGTAAGACACTCTTGGAGATGTCTCCAAGAAATATTTCTTCAACTTACTTCTTTCATCCGTGTATAAATCATAACATTTGCGCCTCAAAGTGTTGCGCGACGGGATTAAGAAATTTGGCTGGATTTTATTCACAAATCGCCGAAATCCCTCATGCTCTACCAACTTGAAAGGCAATTTATCAAGAATAAACATGATCGCTAATTCTTTTCCACTATCATCTTGGTCAAATTTCCAAGGACCCGAGTTACTTTTTTGCCTTTTCTCGACATTTGCATATGGGAATTCCTTACATATAGCTAAATGACGATGCATCGAACTGGTCCCTTGACCACTAGCACAACCAATAAATGCCCCACAGTATATACATTCAGCCTTTTCTTCATCAGGAATATGTTTGAAGTGTTCCCATACTGAAGATCTCGTCCTTCTTTGTGTCACACTAGAAGCACTTATCTCAGATATTTAGCAATCCTTTTATCTATGACACTTAGAACCTGGAAAGTATTACTATAATCAGAAATGTAGTCCTCAACATACTCTTGACAAATACAAATGGTGTAGTAATGCCTTCTACAGTTCATATACTTGCCAACATATTTACCAACTAGGTTCTAGAGTAGATAAACCATGCAAATCTAAAAAATCTGAAGTAGGAAAGTCTTAGATAAACCATCATCATAACATTTTCTGTTGTTAATTGAACAAAAAAGCTCACCAGATTTTGGTGGAAAAAGATTAAATGTTCTGTTATTCCAGGTCACTAAGTTGTTGATCGGTGTTGAAAATCCCTAGCAAACCCTTAATGCGGCCCAGTGCAACGGGGTACAACCTAACAACACACAATACAAAAAAAGTACCACATTAGAAACAATGATTGCTCCCATTCTTAGCATTAAAACTTGCTTTGATCGAATAAAGTGCAAAACCTAATACAGCATGCCAAAATCACAGTGCGTCACAGATAGAAAAAGCTGAGAATCAAGATTCTTTATACGGACTAAAAAGGATAAATGAATCACAGTGTCACAGATTCAAAATGGGCAGCTCAAATGAGTATGGTGCTGTTGTACTAGAAATGATTGACGCTGATATGGTGGAAATGTCTATCTAGGTTCATCTATCTGCAATTAGGAGACATGCAGAAATGAAATTATGATAATAGCTAGGTCAGCTTATCATGCACTAAGGTTATTTCTCTAGAGTCTTTGAAGCAAATTGCAAAAAAAAAGAATAAAGTTCAGCCCATTTCCACTGAAACCCTCTGCCCATAGAAAGTCTTTCAATCTCACTATCTAGACTGATTCCAAGATAGCTTAATAGATTCTCCAAAACAAAAAATTGAAACAGTTATGTTATTCTTCAACCGCATATGAATAGGCTCTATAACTATGATATCAACCAGGAAAAGGGTAAAACTAGGTCAGGATCACAACAAGAAGAAATGCATGCAGTAGATTCAGGAGGTAGGCCTGTTTGTTGCAGCTTATTACTTCTACTTGTGACTTTCCCTCCAAAATTTTGAAGAAGGAAAAGGATATCTCGAGTTTCGAAAAATTATGGAATATCATGTGTAATTCCACATGTCAATCGTTGTATTTTGAAAGGTTTGAGGTGTTTTGCATTAACAAAAGTCAAATTATGAGAGTTCCAAGATAATGAAATTCCGATCAATTAAATAAAAAGCTTCAGAAAGACCAAGCATATGTCATTCTAGAACCATACTAAAAGCATGTGCTTCAGGCCATCACTTCCTTATAAAAGAACATCAAATGGAACTCCAATATGTAAAAGAAAACAAATGCTGCCCTTGTTATGTATATTGACATTCGCTAAGTAGAAAGAGAAGAAAAAAATACCGCAGGAATCATATAGGAAACAACTTACCAGGTTAGGAGCAGCCCAACCAACAAAAGCAGAAAGAATAGTCATCACCTGGATAAAAGATGCCGATACAGAAGGTCTTAGTCCATGACAGATGAAGTGTCTAGAACGACTTCATGCTAAGGCATTAAATATTTGAAAGTTGTAGAAGTACACTTACCACCAAAGTTACCAAGCAACCTGACAAGACAAGTCTCCTTGGGTGACGCATAGCCAGAATCTGAAAACATGAATCATGAAAATGAACATGGTAAGAAGCTATTCCGGAGGAAGGTAGAGTTTGATGTAATGCAGATCACAATGGAACCAAGTCAAGCAGCTGACAATGAAGCACTCACTAGAGGGACAAAGCTACTTCGGAAGCAGTTGCAAGGTAGGATGTGGATATGGGGAATCTTGTATTTTCTTTCATTCCCCCTTCCTGGCCAGTAGCACGCTGATTTTGGGTAAAGTGATAGGGGAATCTGAGCTACTGATAAACCATCTCATCATGAGGACCAACAAAACAGAAGTAAGATAGCAGCTAAGAAATCTCAACAAGTTCATATAATTTGCATGCAATAGACCATAAAATGGAAAAGAAAACCAAAAAAACATACATTGCCCCACAATTTGTAAAGACCAGCGATTAAACAAGGTCAAGTTAGTCCACATAGTCAAAATTTGTGAAGACCAGCTGCTAAACCTTTATTAAGTTCCTACTACAAAGTAATTTTATCAATCCCAGTCATCCAACTATTTAGCCCATACACACATATCTGAGTAATTTAAAAGATCACTTCTAGCAATTTATTCATGCAAACAGAAATGTCAAGGGTCAGAGATTTTCCATCTCTGATTATGGTTTATGGTTCAGTCCCAAGCCACGGTAATATAATTGCATACCTTCGATCAATATTAGCCAATGATATAATGTCGTCCAATTTTGGTATGTCACGCAAGTCAACTGGAAGGAGCTTGTAATGTTCACTAATCACTTCTCCCTTTTCTACACAAGTTAAAGCAAGCTTAAGATAATTAAAACAACCAAAAAGAACAAAATAATCAACACATAATAAAATTTTACACAAATTCATACATCTGAACATAAGAGGCACACTGATACAATGGATAGTAAGGACGATATGCTAGAACCATGAAAGTAGATTTTGCATGCCTCATATTGATAGGTATATAACGACTCCTAGCAAGAACTTAAAAGCCACATAAATTAGCATTTGATTAGAGCAACAGATCCTATGCCCAAAGAGACGTTGCCATTTCTCGACACCAAGGCAATCAAATGTTCAAGTCCAATGCCATCATTAACAACCATACACACCGCTTCTCTGCCAGATTCGCAAAGTCAAAATTATTTTAACTTCACTGCAAATACGCCTTATGAGTAACAAAATCCCAAAGGGATGCAGCCACCATGCTAAAGGTGATAAGTTGTTATGCTGTTGCTAACATCTAAGTGAGATTGATACTAGCATTCCATGTTGAAAACAGCAGACCATCTGTTAGACCAAATAGTTTGTAATAAATCACCTAAGCAATTTGATTGTATTGGCATTGGCTCAACCAATCTGGACGACATATATTTGCAAAAAAAAGGTCCCTTAAGCAGCACAATGGTGAGTTCTTGCATTCCAGGTAACCAGATTTATCGGGAAAAAAAAGTGGGAAACAAAGATTTATGCAGTCCATGGGTCATTGAGCTTGAGTCATTTGCTATGTAGATGAAGCCCAGTAACAGAGTAATCATGGTAAAATTTTCAAAGCAGGAAAGCCAAAGGGTGTCACTAGCTAATCAACATCGTTTTAATCAAATAAGGGCCATTAAATTCGCAGAAACCAATGAGCACAACACATGCAATTCAAAATCCATGCTCAAATGATACAATTTACACGGAAAAGAAACTAGGAACCATGCGAAAAATTCACCCTTTTTTTCGAGCTCACCTGCAATGTGAACAACCTGTCCTCAAACTGAACTTCCTTCGTCAAGAAATCAGCTCCGATCGTCACCTTATACTGATTGCTGAACTTGCGATTCACATACCTATACAGCACAATCAGCAGTCCCCCCAACGTCAAAAACACCAATCAATCAATATCGCATCGAGCTGCGTACATGTATACAATTTCAGATTTTGAATCACGAGGTTAAGAGAACAAACATCAAAAGGGTGTATAGCCAATTAACCTAAAAAGTCATAAACACCAAAAGGAAACGTCTAATTCGATGGACTGATCGTTCGATTCTGCTATGTGACCACTGAAGCTCGACCGCTCCAGAGCCTCCTCGGCTTCAGGGACATTCAAAAAGGAATAGCGCTCACTAACCTGCTCCATAACCTGCACCCAGGAAGGGCGGGAGCTCGCGAGCACAAGCGATCGCGGAGCGAAAGAGAGCAGATCGAAGACGCTAGGGCAAGCGGAGCGAAAAGGACAACAACGGCCTTGACAGAATCAAGGACTCGAAATGTGAACCCTAACAGAGGCGTTGCAAAGCTAGAGAGAGAGAGAGAGAGACCGACCTCGAGCGACGGCGACGAGCGAAGGATGCAGAGAGATGATCGACGAGCGAAGGATGCAGACGAGGTGAGGTGAGGCGAGAGAGTCGAGAGCGTCTGACGGCGATGGCGATTGGTGACTGAAAGAGGGAGATGGGTCGGAGTGTTAATGGGTCGGCCCGATCCTACCCCAACCTAATGATACCCCAAATTTTAGGGCCATATTCGAAAAAAATTAAGGCCCGACCCCAAAATACCGCAAATTTTAGGGCCGGACCGGGCCGGCGTGGGTCGGGCTGGGCCGACGCGGATTTTGTTGACACCCCTAGCGGGCATGTGCCAGGTTCTGGGCTGACTACGTAGACAAGGTAAGACGACGACGCCCAATCTATCGAACATTTCTTTTACTAAGTGTGCTTAACGTCAAGACACAAAACGATGGTGCAGATATTTCCAGCAGGGAAAATGGCGATGTTTTCGACGGGGGAGGCCCAGAAGGTGGCGAAGAAGGAGTACATCGAGGGCTTAAAGGTGCTAGAGGGAGAGCTTGGGGACAAGGCATACTTTGGAGGTGAGAGGTTTGGGTACGTGGATGTGTCGCTGATACCGTTCTATAGCTGGTTATATGCTGTGGAGACATTGGCCAACTGTAGCATCGGGGATGAGTGCTCCGAGCTGGTGGGATGGGCCAAGCGGTGCATGCAGAGGGAGAGCATGGCCAAGTCGTTGCCCGACCAATACAAGGTCTATGACTTCATGTTGAAGGTCAGGAAGTAGCTTCAGGCGCAGCGACACCTCTCGAGTCTCATAATAATGGTCATTTCGATGACTCTTTCGTTCATTAATCCCTCTCTCCCTTGGTCGAGGCTCGCTCTTTCCACTTTCGATGATTTCCGTTTAGCAAAATGTTTTGCGTTCTTTGCGCATGAGTACCTCTAACATACTATTTTTTCTCTTTTTCTCTTTGATGAAATCTTTTTCATTCATTATTGAATTATATATTCCCAATATGCGTCTAAGCATCCATGCGTTACCTACATCATCAAACAAGAAAACATAGCGAACAAAGCAATAATGAGTACTCAGGAAATAAAGTTCAGTAGGTAGATAAGTAAAGGGCAAAGAAAGTCCAGTTCGGCCGTCTTGGGCAATATTTTTTTTTTTTCTTGGGCAATATTAACACAACGCCTTGTTATGTACGTCTCGGATAGAACCTTGGTGACCTTATTCGTAAGAATAGATGTGCCTAAATGCAATGAATTATGGCGAAGTGAAAACTCGTCAACAATCGATCCGAGGAGACTTAAAAATAGTCGAATATGAAGTATTCGAGTCACGATAGAAAACGGATGACATGCCATAATTGACTACACCATGAGAAGAAATCAAAACCCGACTCAGCGAAGCTCGCAGTAGACCAAGAATGGGCATTTTTTTTTTTTGTCGAAGACCATGAATGGGTTGACTGCCCATAGATGTAACAACGATCTGTGCATGGACTGAACGGCATTGCATGTTTAACAGTAAAACATAAGCATCTAATGAAAGCTGTGAGTTTAGGAGTACCGCATTACATGTTTAGTGATACGTCATATTAAAACTGGATTGCACTTAGTATAACATCATTTGGTCCTTTGGAGGATGAGAGCATCCTTTAGAAAGATGCATGCATGTTTAAATTAGGGCTTAGCTCATGGGGGTCCTTGTCTCTAGGCTTAATAATGTAGCTGTGTATATTCTTTGCCCAACATCATATCAATTTTTTATTTTCACGCTTTATCATCATGTCGTCTTTGTTTATTATGTTTGGATTATCACCTTGATTGTATGAACGTTGAATGTTCGCAGGCAAATTCGTGGCACATACTCATTTAGATGGATGTGCCTAGGCATTTAAATGAACAAGATTGCATGATCGAAACGTTTTCGAAATAGCGAGAATAGGTACCAAGTTTAGGCACTGATAGACTTCAACGCAATTAAGTGTCTATTCTCGAATCTCTGGTTCATGGAAAGTAAAACGGCCTTCTATGTTTAACTAAGCTTCTAAACAGCCTCCAATAGGTTAATAGCGACTCCTAAAGGAAAGGACAATAGTCATCATACTTAGGGCCCATTTGATTTGACTTTGAGGGAATGTCTTTGGAAAAATACAAAGGCTTTAGGCTAAAGTGATTTTCCGAAATGCAAGTAGTATTTAGTAAAGTGTATTTTAAAATCACATTTGAAAGCAATTTTGACTAAACACCATTTGGTAAAAACTATATTTTGTAAATAACTTTTGCTAATATTTTTTTTTTAATAGTCTCAGACACTGGCCGGCCAAAATAGCCACCGGCTAGCCTTGCCTGGGGTCACGCAACCCAGGCAACCGTGGCCTGGGCTCAAACTTAGGCAGCATCGCCTGGGTCACGTGACCCAGGCAACGATTGCCTGGGATCGCACGACCCAAGCCAATGCTTACCCGGGTCATGCAACCTAGGCAATGCCTAAGGTCGCGCGACCCCTTAGGTGGCGGTCGTAAGTTTCTGGAATTGCTTCTCTGGGTAAATCGGGGAAGATGAACAGTGCGATGAATAGTGCAATAAACAATGAACTTGCATTTCGAGAATGCAAGTTGCCAAAGTACTTCCGGACCTGCCTTGAGCTAAAGTCTTTTAGAGGCCTTTGGAAATGCAATTGCATTTTCCCAAAATTCTATAAAAAAATTGCCAAACGCTATTTACATTTGGCTACCCAAAGTCCTTTGCAAATGCTGAATCAAACAAGCCCAATCAACCAATGTCGCAATTGGTACGGTTTGGAAGAATCCGAGCTAAGTGTGAGTGACAACTCGCAAGAGGAATTGTCCGAGCACACTTAGGTAATCCATCCACCATTCGAGGCAACGCGGGTCCTTCAAAGCACATGACCAAACTGCCATCAGGAGGGTACGTCATGCATGACATACTACAATTGACTACACTATGACAAGATGTCAAAATCATACTAGAGAAAGCTCAGAGCAGGGCTAACGATCTACAAGCATGCATGTAATTCTTTTCCGCTACACGAACATTGAGTGAAATTCCATCCATAAAATGACTGATATGATCATCAAATTTATTTTATTAAAGAGTCATTATGATTTGCGTTGAAGAGCTATCTGGATTTGCAAATATTTCACTCGAATGCACTCGTTATTGACCTAAATTTGTACTAAACTCAATATGTTGTATCATTTTTTTTTGTCGACTATTATATCTAGATATTTCGTTTGCTCATGCATATACACATACTAGTTCATGCAAAATGCTTTGTTATCTTCAAATAAGTAGTGAGTTTTCCAAACGTATTTATGCTTCCTCAGCCAGTGCTAAGGATTGTCCTACAACTTGGGTGTAACGATTTGGTGTAATTGCCATTAAGGTTAACCACTTTTTTTGCATGATCAAGGACAAATGGTGCAGCCTTTTCTTGCCATATCTTTTTGGCTCAAGGGATTTTTTTTTTCTTACTTAACTCTCAACTCACTCTTAAACTTTTACCAGGAGTCGAAACCTACATTCGATACTAAACGTTCCCACCCCTAACCCCCTCCTGAGAAGGTAAAAAATCGAACTCCCCATCTCTCTTTTTCCAAATAGGAAGGGTGGCCATTAGGGCAAATCCCAGTGGTTGGCTTTGGGAGCTTGACTCGTAACTTTTTTAGGTCTATTTGAATTACTTTCCTCTTACGACAGAATCAAGCCTTTCATTTACAATATGTCCATCTTTTTTGCAAGAGCATTTTCCCCTACTGTAGCAGCGTTGCTTTCATCCCTAGCAAAGAATTTCGTTAACGGAGTATTGAACCCACTATGTGAGTTCTAACGCAAGGAAGAAAGATCTAGCCTTCTACCGGCCTTTATTAATTTTTTTTATATTTTTTCAATTTTGCGTGAAAAGAAAAAAATGGAAATCTAGGTTTTCTCAATAAAATATAGCTATTCTTACTTATTAAGAATATATGTTTTTTGAATTTTTATAGAAAAACGAAAAGTTAAGCTTTTTCAAGAACTATGGCCTTAATGAAAATTCTGTAAATACTTAAAGATGTTTGAGATTTGAAAGGAGCTTCACTGCAAGGTATTTTTTGAAGTTAAAACAAAAAAGTTGGGTATTGTTATGCCAACCTTGAAAGATGGGATAAATTGGAAAAATGAGATAAAAGGTGGGGTTTTTACATGACATTAGCCTTCCAAATAATCAAAAACCCTAATTTAAAAAGTCAAAAATCACCATGACCAGAGACTCCTACAATGCCACGTCGATTACCACTAGTCGGGCAACAGACATATGATTGTTCTTTTCTTCATCAGCAAGAAATAATATTATATTCCATAATTATGTACAATTGTTTACTTTCGCTCCATTAAACTAGGGTCTATTTACAGATGAAAGCTTGGCTTAAAGTCAAGGACGAGATGATTGCGTCTAAGTTCAGGAATAATGAGAAATGGAACATAATGCAGTAGGGAAGAACTGGAAGCACTAGAAAGAAGGAAGCAACCACCAGTCGAACTAATAATAAGATATGTATTTCTCGTTCATGTTACAACCTAAGCCATGAGCTAATCGGCCGGGCATGGAGACTAGATTTGGAGCTGACAGTGACGCGAGCAATGACAGCATTGAGCAGCCCCTCCTCGAGCACTGCAGCGAATGAAAAGCCTCTTCCATCTTCTCTTTTGCTCTATATAAGTGGCTCCTGCTTTTAACCTCACTTCACCACATAAAACAAAGCATTCTTGAGTTCAGATTACCATAGCTTCAATGGCGGAGGAAGTGATATTGTTGGACTTCTGGCCGAGCCCATTCTGGATGAGGGCCAAGATTGCCCTAAGAGAGAAGGGTGTGGACTTTGATATGAGGAAGGAGGATGCTCTGAGCAACAAGAGCCCCCTGCTCTTGGAGATGAACCCGGTCCACATGAAAATCCCCGTCCTCATCCACATCGGCAAGCCGGTTTGCGAGTCCCTCGTCATCGTCCAGTACATCGACGAGACCTGGGGTCATGGGTCCCCTCTCTTGCCTTCCAATCCTCCCGAGCGGGCCCATGCCAAGTTTTGGGCCCACTATGTGGACAAGAAGGTAGGACAATGATGCCCAATCTTTCATACACTTCCTTATTAATCATGCTTAACGTCAAAACATGAAACGGTGGTGTAGATTACAGTGGTGCAAGCGGTGTGGACGTCGACAGGGGAGGCCCAGGAGGCAGCGAAGAAGGAGTACATCGAGTACTTGAAGGTGTGGGAGGGAGAGCTCGGCGACAAGGCTTACTTTGGAGGTGAGAGGTTTGGGTACGTGGATGTGTAGCTAATACCGTTCTATAGCTACTTCTATGCTTTCGAGGCATCGGCCAACTTTAGCACTGAGGAGGAGTGCCCCAAGTTGGTGGGTTGGGCCAAGCGTTGCATGCAGAGGGAGAGCGTGGCCAAGTCATTGCCCGACCATCACAAGGTCTATGACTTCATGTTGGAGCTCAAGAAGAAGCTTTAGGCGCAGTGACAACTCTCGAGTCCCATTATGGTCATCTCATGACTTTTGTTCAGTAATTCCTCTCCTTTGGACGAGGCTTAGCTCTTTCCACTTTCATGATTTCCTTTTTGTATTTGAGTATTTCTGGATCAGCTGATAAATTCTATACAACATTTCATGAATTTCGTTCAGCATTATGTTTTGCGTTATTTGCGCACGTGGACATCAAATATATATTTTTCTTTTTGATGAAAATCTTTTCCATGCATTATCAACCTATTCTGTTCCCAAAACGCATGTAAATACCATGCATTACCAACATTATCAAACACGAAAGCATAGCAAACAAAGAAAAAACAAAAATTAAGGAAATTTCGATACTTTGGTTTTCGCAACAATCTACACCATCATTTCATGTCTCAATGTTAAGCACACTTAATATGGAAATTCATTGAAAGATAAAGCATTTTGTTGTCTTACCTTCTTGTCCACATAATCGGCCCGGAACCTGGCACAGGCTCGCTTGTAAGGATCGAAAGGCAAGAGAGGGGACTTGCGACCCTAGGTCACGTCTATGTACTGAACAATGACGAGGGAACTGCAAACTGGCTTGCTGTTGTGGATGAGGACGGGGATTTTCCCCCTCTTGATCAAGCCATTCCTGAAACACACCACGACCCTTTTCTCAAGATTCATAGCTTTTTCACCATCTTCATCAAAGTTTTTCAATTTGCTTGTCGATTCCACAATTGCAAATTATCATATGTTTGCGTGTATTTTGGGATTGTTTGTCCTCGCTCTTTCTTTGATAATCTGCAAGAATTCAGTCAAGGCTCACCAACTTTCAGAGGCAACGTTGCCTGAAGTGCCCGAACTGCCTTAGTCTGGATTGCCTCAACTTCCTAATATTCCGAGCCTGCCAAAGTAGGAATTGCCATCACTGTCGAAAGTCGAATTGCTGCCACTTCGTGAACTACCAAAGCCCGAATTACCAACAATACCGAAACCAAAATTGTCCGAATTTCCTCACGTCTGTGATTTCTCTAGACCATCATTGCCTTCTGTTCCCACGATTTCGAAGGACATGTTCGTTTTTGCTACTACTCCTTAAACCTATGTGATGTGAGTTTCTTGTTGGATACAATATAATATGATTTAGTAATATTATCCCGTCTGTATTTAATGATCTGAGGATGACTCATATGGTATACATGCACTAGATTGTGACAGTTTGTGATATGAACTGACATTTGTTATATAATTTAATTTATGATATCGTAAAGGAACTAGTTGGCGCAATTGATTGAGGCATTAGGGGATTTTCGAATCAGGATGTGGAGGTTATTTGTTCATATCCTACCAGTTGTGCGTAAAGTGCTGCGAGTCAGAATCATTTGCTCGTACAAAAAGGCCTGAACTTAATCAGGCCACGGGACCAATCCACCAAGTTTCCGTTTTCATAAACACGCCGGTCACCTAATTGGAGATTTTTCTGTGCTTCTAAATTGCCCCTAGTTTACTCCTTTCTAATTCTTAAATTGACACTCCTCACTTGGAGTCAGTTATACAAGTACATTTAGTACATTCTTTCCTCATCTCGTACTTCCCCGCTTGCATATTTCGTCTGCATACTCAACACACATATTAGTTCATGCATAATGCGTTTTTATCTTCAAAACAAATAGTGAGCTTTCCGAACGTATTTAAGCTTCCTCAGCCGGTGCTAAAGATTGTCCTACAACTTGGGTTGAACGATTTGGTATAATTACCATTAGGTTGACCACTCTATTCGCAAGATCAAGGACAAAAGGTCCAGCCTTTTCCTGCCATATCTTTTGGGCTTTAGGGGCTTGACTCGTTACTCTTTGAGGCCTATTTGACTTACTCTCTTTCAACAGAATCAAGCCTTTCAAGGACCAATTTGTCCATCTCTCTTGCAAGAGCATTTTCCCCTGCTAGAGCAACGTTGCTTTCATCTCTAGCAAAGAATTTCGTTAGCATAGTATTTAACTGTGCATTGCGACCCACCATGGGCCCGTTTGGTTCGACTTTGGGGGAATGCATTTGGGGGAAAGCAAATACCTTTTGGGCTAAAGGGGTTTTCCGAAATGCAAGTAGTGTTGGGTAAGTGTTTTTTAAAATCAACTTAGGCTAAAGGACTTTTGCTAATTTTTTTTTAAAAAAAAAAAGCTCCGGTGGAGCTAAACCACCGGCCACCGCCGCCGGCCAGATCTGGTCGCCAGCCACTACCACATGGGGTCACGCGATCCCCAAGCGGTGGTCGCCGGGGTCGGGCTAGCCCTCAGGCGGCGGTCGCCAGCCGCCGGACCTCAATCTGGGAAAGATGAACAATGACGATGAACAGTGCAAGTTGCATTCCGAAAATGCAACTTTCCAAAGCACCTCCACCCTTGCATTGGCCAAAAGTCCCTTGGAGAGTATTCCAAATGCAATTGCATCTCCCCAAAGTGAGTAAAAAAAGTTGACAAACACCATTTGTATTTGGCCAAAGGACTTTAGAGCCCAAATGAGCATTCCCAATTCTGAACCAAACGGGGCCTATGTGAGTTATAACTTATAATGCAAGGAAGAAAGATCTAGCCTTCTACTGGCCATTTTTTAAAATTGAAATATGTTTCAGTTTTGCGTGAAAAGAAAAAAAAAAGGAAAACTAGGTTTTTCAATAAAATATAGCTATTCTTACTCATGAAGAATTGAATTTTTATTAAAAAAAAACGAAAAATTAAGCTTTTTGAAAGAACTATAGCCTTGATGGAAATTATGTAAATATTTAAAGATATTTGTTTGAGATTTGAATGGAGCTTCACTGCAAGGTATTTTTGAAGTAAAAAACAAAAAAGGTTGGGTATTGTTATGCCAACCTTGAAAGATGGGGAAAATTGGAAAATGAGATAAAAGATGGGGTTTTTCTATGACGTTATCACTTCCAAATAATCAAAAACCCTAATTTAAAAAGCCAAAGATCACCATGACCAAAAACTCCTGCAATGGCACGTCGATTACCACTGGTCGGGCAACGACTTATACGAAATTCCATAATTATGTATAATTGTTTACTTTTGAGCTATAAAAAAAGGTTTTAATTTCATATGAAAGCTTGGCTCTAAGTCAAGAACTAGATGATTGTGTCTAAGTACAAAAATTGTCGCGGAAACAAGCGATCACATTAGTAAAATAGACAAAACAAGAAAATAGATCGGATACAAGATTGACGTGATTTAGTCAAGGTGACCTAGGTTCACAGGAAGAGCATCAAAGAATTCCTTTGGAGATCAAGCGATAAAATGAAGATTACATCAACACTCGAATAACTCAAACACTATCAGTGTTTCCCACCCTTCAATTGCACCCAACAACTCACAAATGAAATTACAAATCTTACCACGAGATTTATTGGCTTCAACACTCTCGAATTGTTTCAAAATGTAATTTACAAGAAGTCGTCTTTTGATACTTTTCACAGCGAAAATACTTTTTATATCTAGACAAAAGTTGGATCCAAAACAGGGCACCTACTTAAACTAGGTACCCATTCAATAGGAAATCAACTCCAATTAGAAAATTTATTCGAATTAGGAATTTTTCTTTTTTATGCTTAAATTGGTGATATATTTTCAATAGAAATAATGATAAATATAAAATAAACAAGTAGAGAGGAACTGGAAGCACCAGAAAGAAGCAGCCACCAGTCGAACTTATAATAAGATATGTATGTATTTCTCGTTCACGTTACCACCTAATCCCTGACCTAATACGCCGGGCATGGAGACTAGATTTGGACCTGCCAGTGACGCGAGCAATGACAGCATTAAGCAGCCCCTCCTAGTCCTCGAGCACTGCAGCGAATGAAAAGCCTCATCCATGTGCTCTTTCCCTCTATATAAGTGGCTCCTGCTTTAACCTCATTTCACCAGAAAAAAAGCATTCTCGAGTTCATATTACCATAGCTTTAACGGCAGAGGAAGTGATACTGTTGGACTTCTGGCCGAGCCCGTTCGGGATGAGGGCCAAAATTGCCCTGAGAGAGAAGGGCGTGGAGTTTGATCTGAGGGAGGAGGGACTTCCGAGCAACAAGAGCCCCTTGCTCTTGCAGATGAACCCGGTCCACAAGAAAATCCCCGTCCTCATCCACGACGGCAAGCCGGTCTGCGAGTCCCTCATTATTGTCCAGTACATCGACGAGACCTGGGGTCCCGAGTCCCCTCTCTTGCCTTCCGATCCCCACGAGCGTGCCCGTGCAAGGTTCTGGGCTGACTACATGGACAAGAAGGTAAGACGAACAGCACCCAATCTTTCCCGATCATTTCCTTGTTATGTGCGCTTGACATCAAGACGGGACACAACATGACGGCACAGATAATTCCAGCGGCGCAAATGGCATGGCTGTCGACAGGGGAGGCTCAGGAGGCGGCGAAGACGGAGTACATCGAGGGCTTAAAGGTGTTGGAGAGAGAGCTTGGGGACAAGGCGTACTTTGAAGGCGAGAGGTTTGGATACTTGGATGTGTCGCTGATACCGCTCTATAGTGGGTTCTATGCTGTGGAGACATCGACCAACTTTAGCATCGGGGAAGAGTGCCCCAAGTTGGTGGGGTGGGCAAAGCGGTGCATGCAGAGGGAGAGCGTGGCCAAGTCGTTGCCTAACCAGCACAAGGTTTATGACTACATGTTGGAGGTCAGAAAGAAGCTTCAAGCGCAGTGACTACTCTTGAATCTCAGAATGGTCATTTCCCAGCTCTTTTGTTCAATAACCCCTCTTTCCTTTGGACGAGGGTTAGCTCTTTCCAGTTTCATGATTTCCTTTTTGTACTTTGAGTGTTTCCGGATCGGCTAATAAATTATATGCTAATTCCGTTTAGCATTATGTTTGCGTTATTTCCGCATATGTACCTCGAATTTACAATTTCCTTTTTTTATGAAAATCCTTTTCATGCATTATTGACCTATTTCGCTCCTAATAATCATCTAGTAGCGTCATGCATTACCAACATTATCGAACATAAAAACGTAGCAAACAAAGCTAAAACAAAAGTTAAGGGAATAAAGTTTAGTAGATAGATGAATAAAGCAAGAAATATCCAATTCGGGCTGGCCTATCTCTGAAATAAAACTCGTAACGACCCGATACAAATGAGGGCAGAAAATGATCGTTGAAGAATTAGATTTCCTAATTTGTCGAAGAATTTCCAACCTTTGATAGTTGTTCGAAAATCTAGAACTTGCGACGAATCTCAGATTAGATTTGCTTTTGAGAAACCATCCCCAAATTCACTCTTAGAGTAAATTCTTCCCAATTTTAAGAATACCTCTCTATCTCCTTCGGTAACTTTTCTATCAAGGTTGACAGACCAGTCAAACTATCACGTACAGAATTTAACAATCTTGTACCTGGATCCCTACACGTTCAATGGTATAAATGCAAACATTCTAGATTCCGGCAATCACAGCCCTCTTAATTCTTTGACCTCATGGTCCTGTAATATTAGATTATACTATCTCTCCTTCAAGATGACAAAACCTTTAAGACGTGACCCAAATCTTAAATGGGTGTTTCGAAATTGTTTGCCTAGTTCACACGCACAAGTCCATTCCTTGTTCTGTAAATTAGCTTTGGGTACTGAAGAACAAATTAGTCATGAAAGAGTGTGATTATTTGCGTGGTTTCATCTCTTGGTGGTAGCTATTTATACTTGATGAGAAGATAGATGTCTTATCAAGAATGCTCTTCGCTCATATCCTTCAACAAAAGGGTCGATAAAAGTATCTATTTTTGTGCGAAAACGTGGATATCGTCTTGCTCAAGTAGATGGGGTTATTTTGTTAAGACACAGTACTTTGTAAAGGGCCAATTTGTAATTCAAAATAAAAATTCCACATCCTAGTTCGATCAACTTTTTCTAGGATACCTTTGTGCCATGAGACAATAAAAGAAGTGTTCTTGTGTACAAATGCTCTCGAGCCTCTCAAAGCATTGATTTTGCACATCATGAAAATAGCTAGTGGATTGAAAATATACAGTTTTGCCTTATTGAGTTTCCTAATAAATGCCTGATGAAACTTTTTAACAAAGTTCTAAGAAAAATTAAAGGAGATGGCAAAAAGAGCGGTGCCTAACGGTGACCTAGGCTTCTCAACCTTGCGGTTCAACTTGCACTACTCCCAAGTCAGGGCAAATGTTGAAATGGAAGGCGGCAAATTTTGTGGCCTAGGATCATACTGCCTTTCTTTAAAAAAAAATATTGAGATCACTCACCAAAATATTTTGATGAATTGCTAACTTAGTACTAAACATTTTTGACGACTTGTCAATTTAGTCCTTCCGGCGAATTTTGACCGGAAATCGCTCACGTAGATGCCGGCCATCCTACATGACGTGGCTAGCACTAACGTGGATAATTTTTTCCTCTTTTCTTTTTTTCCCTCTGGCCTATGGCTGGTATTTGGCCATGGCCGACAACCAGACATAAGGCCTCACCGGATCTGGCGAGGGCTCGACCCTCATGGCTTGGGGAGGGTCATTCTTGCCAAATATGGCAAGGCTGTCCTCGTGGCCTTTTGCGAGGGCTCAACCCTCGGGGCTTGGGCGACAGTGACCCTTGCCAAATCCAACAATGGTGACCCTCGCCTACGTGGCGAGGGTCGAGCCCTTGCCAGATCTGGCAAGAGCAGCCCTCACCAGATTTAGTAAGGGCGACCCTCGCCTAGGCCGCGAGAGTCAAGCCCTCACCTATGGTCAGTTGCCGACAATGGACAACTGTCGACCACGAGCCAAAGGGAAAAAAAAGAAAGGAAAAAAAATATTAAAAATGTAAAAACTATCCATGCCAGCGCTGACCATGCCACGTAAGATGGTCAGCGTCTACGTTAGTGATTTCGGATCAAAATTGGCCAGAATGACTAAATTGACAAGTTTTCAAAAGGTTTAGGACTAAATTAGCAAATCACCATAAGGTTTAAGACTAAATTGGCAAGTTGCCAAAAAATTTAGGAGTAAATTAACTGCCGTATAATAGGTTTAGAATTTTTTGGACAATTTTCTCATGAACCAAAAGTCAGATAATAGCGCTTTTCTAACCTTCTGTCCCTTGAGTCTGTTCATGCGCCTAGTGACGATGTCTTGTCATTTTGTTGGAATTCTATGCTTTGCGAGCATGACACCATTCCTCGAAAGCATGACGCGGTTTGCCGTGAAGTAAGATCTGGACATGCTTAGCCGATTCACCAACTCTCGTCATTGTAAAGTCGATGTTTCTTTCCTCGATTGATGTCTATCTTTACATGCGTGGAATTTTAATATCTTGATCCGTATCAAGATATTAAAATATCAAACGTTGATTCAGGGATCGACCTAAGGCCCAAAGTGGGCTAAAATATGGGTGAGCATGATTTCATGATTCTATCATGGAATCGGAGAATCGGATTGGTGGGAATTTGTCCGGTTCCAGAGTATGCAGGGTAAGTTTTCACTTCCAAAAATCGGGTAACCTATTTTAACGGGTAAGTTCTAGGTTCAAGGTAGGTGGAACCTAGAACTTGGTACCTGGAACAAGTTTTTGTATTTTTCTTGGTCTATATCTTTACGCGATCATACAAAATTCCATGGCGTCCGATCATAAGTGTATAATCTGGAATCACTAGTTTAAATTTCCATTTTGTGACTTAGACTTTTACTTTGTTAATGTTTCATATTGTTCGTGTGTCTAAATATAAGTTGCGATCAGTGGATTGTAGCAGCAAATGGTGGTCATTAAATGTGACGTTTCACTACAATCGTTAAATTAATATTACAGGTGAAACCCGGGTAAACCCCGGAACTAATCCTGAAACGTGTAATATGGTAGGTTCCAAGTTTCACGGTATGTAGCGTAAGTTCCAAATTCTAAAAAAATGGAAAATTTGTTCCAATAAGTAAGTTTTAAATTTCAGGAGGAACGGTAAAATCTATATGGAACTTGGAACCACTCAGCTCTGGGCTAAATGGCCACTGCACAAATCATCTGCAGGCAGTCAACCCATTCTTGGTCTACTCCGAGCTTTCCTGAGTCGGGTTTTGACTTCTTCTCATGGTGTAGTCAATGAACAATTATGCCATGTCATACATTTATTATCGCGACTCCAAGAGTTCATATTCGATTCTTTTTTAGTCTCTTCGGATTGATTTTTGACTAGTTTTTTCACTTCGTCATAATTCATTGCATTTAGGCACATTTATTCTTATGAATAAGATCATCGAGGTTCTATCCCAGACGTAAATAACAAGGCGTTGTACTAATATTGCCCAAGACGACTTTCTTAGCTTTACTTATGTATCTGCTCAACTTTATTTCCTTAGTATTCATTATTGATTTGTTCGCTAATGTTTTTGTTGCGGAAGTCAAGCGATCGAACAATAAATTTAACAGAATAAGAAAATAAATCGAACATCAGATTTACGTGGTTCGGTCGTAGTGACCTACGTCCACGGGGAGAGCAGCACGGAATTTCACTATAGATTAAGCGATACAACGGAGATTACAACCACACTCGAGTCACTCAAACACTCTAAGTGTTTCCCAAGCCCCAATTACACCCAATAACTCACGCAGTGTTTATCCCAACAATTCCTCACGAAATAATCCCTCAATCTTGCAAAAGAATTGTACACAAATCTTAACACAAGATTTAATCGCTACGAACACTTGAACTCTTGGCGTAATTCCACGAATAAAATCACGAACCCACAACCAAGCACTCGCTTGCGGAGCGGCGCTTCAAGAAGTCTTCACTTCACGTATTTATCAACAACAGCACGTCCAAAGTGCCCACTGAATATATTTATAGCCAAAAGAAGAACACCTTCAGAAGCCCACGTCAACATGGATTAGGAAATCATGTTATTCGGTCAACTAGTCAAAGTTTGAACTTTCCTCTTTTAACTTTTCTTTGGCCGACTTCAAGTAGTGTTTCCTTCCTTTCTCTGACATAATTGGACTTTCCTTTTCTGTCCTTCTATTTCACGATTCGGACTCCAACGTGAGAATAACAAAATTGATGTGTCCGTATATTTCCTTTTACTCGATTTCGGAGTTCGCAAAATATCCAATTCGAAATATTTAGATTTTCGTTTCGGGCTCAAACTCGAGACATATTTTTAATAGTTTTCTTATTTGATGATGTTGGTAACACATGGATACTTAGACGCATATTGGGAATATAGTAACGCAAAACATAATGCTAAACAGAAATCATCGAAAGTGGAAAGAACATACCTCAACCAAAAGAGAAGAGGTTATTGAACAACAGAGTGATGAGGTGAGCATAATCAGACTCGGATTTTATTGGGGCTGAAGCTTCTTCTTGAGCACCAAGAGGAATTCATAGACTTTTTGCTGGTCGGGCAACAACTTGGCCACGCTCTCCCTCTACATCCAATGCTTGGCCCATCCCACCAACTTGGGGCACTCCTCCGCCACGCTACAGTTGGCCAGTTTCTCCAAAGCATAGAACGAGTTATACAGCGGTATCAACGACACATCCATATACCCAAACATCTCGCCTCCAAAGGAAGCCTTGTCCCCAAGCTCTCCCTCCAGCACCTTTAAGCCTTCGATGTACTCCTTCTTCGCCGCCTCCCAGGCCTCTCCTGTCGACAGCCATGCGGTTCGCCCCACTGGGAATATCTGCAATGTCATTTCGTGTCTCCACGTTAAGCGCATTTAATATGGAAGTGCTCGAAAGATTGGGCGTCGTGGTCTTACCTTGTCCACATAGTCGGCCCAAAACCAGGCACGGGTGCGCTCGTGAGGATCAGAAGGCAAGAGAGGGGACTCATGACCCCAGGTCTCGTCGATGTACTGGACGATGACGAGGGACTCGCAAACCGGCTTGCCG